CGGGTATTCTATACACTACATTTCACTACCTGCATATTACATTGGACACCCACAGCCACACCCACAGCCACACCCACAGCCACACCCACAGCCACACCCACACCCACAGCCACACCCACACCCACACCCACACCCACACCCACACCCACACCCACACCCACACCCACACCCACACCCACACCCACACCTACACCAACAGCCACACCCCCACCGACACCCGCATCCACATCCGCACCCACATCCACGCTCACACCCTTTGCACAGGGGCACTGGGTGTGGGTAATGAAGAAGGATATATAAACATCCACCAAATCCCAATCCCATCCCATGGGGTATGAGTCTGGGGTGGGACGTGGTTTGCACTGTGTGTGGGGGGTTAATCGGGGGGGGTAAGGCGGTGTGGTGGGGGCGTGGGTTTTGAGGGGGGGGGGGGGGGGCGGTAAAAATGAGACTTAGAGCGTTGGTTGTCCAATGTAATATGCAGGTAGTGAAATGTAGTGTATAGAATACCCGGGGTTGTGTGCTGGGTGTAGGATGTTGGGTATGGATGGTGACGTGGTTCTGGGTTATGCATATGCGATTTTTTGTGGTATGTAAAAATGTAGCCTGGGATGTATGATTTCTGTTGTGGAGGCAGATTGGTGTTGGCAATAGGCATCTAGATGAATGGGTGCGTCTATTGAGTGTATGTATGTGGGAATCGGGTGTGACTAATAAAGAAGAGCACCTGAATAATCATCTGGCCATGGGCATAGTCACGTCTTCTCGCAGAAACCTCTAACGATTTTCTTTTTCGACTTCAGTGTGTTCGATTTCGATCCAGGTTATCATGTATTCTGGCTTTGAACTCTGTTTTATCAGTTTTATTTGTTCAAAAGTCAGGCCTGGCATGTACTGTCTGGTGTAGACTATGAGTACGAGTGTGGTTTGTGGATTCGGAGATGATTCTGTATGGGGTGTGGTTGTGCCGTTTGTTGCGCGGTCTCGATGTGGTTGCAAGCGTGACTGCTAAGAAGGCACACATATTGGTCCATACTCACGCTCAAAACAGGGTGTGATTTTGGGTGTATGGTATTTGGTGTTGTCGCGATTAAGGAGTGGCGGTAGATGTGTGGGTGGCTTTGTGCATCTCTCTAGGATCGATTTGGTGTGTTCTACATGTTTCCAGGAAACTGATTTTACTTCAAAGACATGGGTATCACATTTAAAATGGCCATGGTTAAAATAATGGACATGATGGGCACAAGGGGCATAATGAGCATAATGGGTGTAAGACGCAACAAGGGAGATGCACCATGATTCCTTTCGGAGCACCCACATCGAGAGAGACGTGGGGTGACTCCCTTCGTGGCACCGACATTGAGGAAGATGATCTGTACTCGTTTTAGTTTACTAGACCACGTTGCATTGGTTTGAAACGTAGTGCTTGAGGACAAAGTTGACTCTCTTCGCCACGGTTTTATTTTCGGAAACTGCTTTAATTTCTGGCAATTTATTTTAGATTTTTGGAACCCCGTCTGACCCGGTGAAGTTTATTTCTGATTTTGGGGAATGTAGTTGGTTTACGGAAAGTCATTTTCTGGCGCTAATCATTGACTATCTTGGACAGCCGTATAAGGGATTATGTGCCATTATTCCCATTATGGTCATTATGCCTATTATGTCTATGGTTGAATTCTAGAGAAACTGTGTTCAGGTTTCGGGAAACAAATTTAGTTTCCGGAAATCGATTAAATGTCCGAAAAATGATTGAGTTTTCCGGAAACCTAGATAACGCATAATATACTAGGATCCGCACGTGGAAGGTAGTTGTGGATTTTAAGGTGAAACACTGTGCACGCATACAACTACACCCAGAAACTCCCACACCCAGCCACCCACCCTCAAACGTTTACCCACACGCAGCATTCACATCAGTTGTAATGGAGTCTGACGCTTATTGATACCAAGGCCGAAAGTAACCGTGGCCTTGTCAGAGACGATCAAGATCGAGAGGTTTGGACTGAGTACATCCCTAACTGTTGACAAATCAATGAGAGGAAGTCGAAACTGGCATACGTGGACAAGTCGAGCAACTATAGTAAAGTTGCTCACTAGTATGATGTTAAAAGCTGTCTCAACAGTTTTCGATATCCGGAACGTGTTGGTACTTTTGGTATGAGATTTAAAATAATTTCGTTTCCTTTTCGAATTTTTGAAAATATTTTACTCACGACAATCAAATAATTATCAGCAAAACCTTCGCCGTTGCTTGAATGACGTGCTGTTGCTGCTTTTTACTTTTGTTCTGTTACTACTTGCTTTATTTTTGAATGATTCGTTCATTATTTTTGCAAAACGCGCGCACTTTCTGTCCTGTTATTTGGTTGCTTTTGTCTCCCGTTTTTTCGTTTTTTTAAATTCTTTTCGAATAAACACTCCAATGAGAAGGACAGCGTATAGCAACAGTAAAAAATTGAAGGATAGAGTAGACGACTAGTGATGGCAGAAAAAAAATCTATTCCATATATATTTCATTTAATATGCGGTACACAGATCGTTACTCATTCTGTATGACTTGACTTAGTGAATTACATTGTGTTCTCATGAAACAGAAACATGTACAGTTTTTGAAATCACTTTTCATGAAACACAGATCACAATATTAAAACCTGACAAAACTGATTAACCTAAATATATAGATAATTCTCAAAGGATGAAAGAAAATGAGGCAGCATAGTGCATTGATCAACAACTACTAGTCAATGGTTGTTTTTATACCCACGAACACCTACATTAATTTAGCCAAAACTCTTTGTCCCAGAACGGTGAATATTCACTTCTAAAAGTTCTATGACGCTTTTATCAACATAATTGAGAAACTAAATTTAACTGTCTTTCTCGCTACTCAAC